ACTGCTAATTGCGTGCAACAATGTACCAATAACGCATCAAGCTCCGTACAATAACATAATTAATAAGAGTTAATAAAGTTAACAAGAGGAGAAAGACAGGGCGGATCCGAGCAAAAAACTGTTAGGATCATCCTCATGAAGCATAAGGCCCCGATAAGGCTGAAAGTAGGATACCCTAAAAAGGGATGTCTCATTATTACCACATCAGAGATAGATTTTTAAGGAATATCTTAGATTTTACGAAATAAGGCTTCAATAAAGAAAACTGATGAGGACATTAGAAGGATTTTTAGAGATGCCTTAGATTTAATAAATAAGACTTTGGATAGGGAAAACTGATGAGAACCTTAGAAGGATCTTTTAAGGATACTTTAGATGTACAAAATCAAGTTCTGTTATAGAAAATTAATAAGATCTGAAACGTGTAATAAAATTTTCATAGTTTAGTATTACTGTAGTAGGTACGCTCTATCTGGTTCTTTTGAAGATTTTTTTTTTTATTATTATACCGCAATTGAAAACAAATTTTGTTAGTTTTATTGGTTACCATATTCATTAGTCTTTTCCAAGAATTTTTCTAGTATTGCCTTTGTTTTGAAATATGGCAAACTTTAATCAAAAATATTGCAGGATTTAAGGTAAAGAGTGCTATATTTTATTGTAAAATATATTTTTAAAATAAAAAGTTCTTGTTGTATACCAACAAGGTTATAAAGAAATAAAGAAATTGCAGTCTAAATTTCTTGGAATGAAAAGAAGTAATATTTCTACTTAAGCAATAATAAAAATATTTCCTTATAAGCCTATTAATATTGCCATATTGATATTGCCTCATAAGGCCCTTATAATATTGCCTTATAAGGACCCGTTAAATCATTTGTTGCACATCTTGCCCTTGTCTTTCTATCCCTACTAGGACCCGATTAATCTCAGAGAAAAATAATCAGGCCCTTACTAGAGCCTTATTAATTTTTCTACTCGGGGAGGTGTAAACGAAACCAAACTCGCGGTCCGAAGGGCACTATCGGACGCAAAAGTCGCTACTCGCGGATTTACATTATAGGTTTTGCACGAGATTGCCGGAATTCATAGTTTAGCGAATTATTCACGATGTTTGATCGAAAGCGTAATTAACTAGAGATTCGTGTTTGCGGAGCATTATTCAGTTGTTTGGGTCGGTATTTCTTGTATGAAATAAACGCGTGGCGGACAATCGCGCATTCATGAAACTGTAATCATCAAGCTACAATTTATCGAACGATGACGGTTTATGAATAGCGGCCGAAATTTCGACTCGCACGTCACACGTAAATTCGTCACACGTCAATTAAGGCCGAGAATCCCCCGCGCGATACGCGATGAAAATTTCAGGTAATAAATTGTTTCGCGCATACCTGCACATTTGTGACGTGTATCAGCGCCCGCGTGCCGCGGCGTCCTGCGTCCTTCGTCCTGGCTGCCAACTGCTCTGTCGTGACGCTGTCACTGACGTTCAAACTGACACGCTCGCGTCGAGGCGATTCGATCGGAGAAACGCGTGTTAATGGACGCGTCAGCCGCGCGGGGGCTCCATTCAATATTTCGACAGGATATCCTGATGGACAGGAGCGTGAGACGGTGTGCGTGCCGAAACGCAGTGGAAACATCCGGGAAAGTTCGCGAAAACAAGTTCGACCGCCTCGAAGGTCCGCGGTATTCTGTGATCGCCCGGGCGACTGACTCTGCCCTTTCCGTCTTGTTTTCTTTCGCGCGTCCCTCGTCCCGCGTTTCTTCGTTAGTGTTTTCCCTCGACCGGCGATTACATAGCACAGAGGTGTGTTATTAAACCTAAACTCCAATGTCAAACTTACAAGATAGATTCTACGAAAAAAAGAGAAATAAGTAGAAAGGTCTCGGTAAACACGTATTCTCAAACGCTCGGTTTCTGAGCTACAGTTGCCGCCATCTTGGTTAAAAATATATTCCGCTCACGAAATTGTATTTTACAAATAAGTCACTAGGCCCCCACGCTGTTGCAAAATTTGTCCAAAATTTCTGAAATGTGTCTTCTTGATTTCGATCGTTCGTTTCGACAATCAGTAACGATATATCAACGTAAGGGTGAATGATTTTTCGGTCCAAACACTATTAAAGTTCATAGATATTCTTTTTTTAAACAGGTACAAGAGTGCTGTATTAGCATTCTTAATCCGTTTTCTTTCGTCGTTGTTGTCTTCTGTACTTCGAAAGCTAAGCTTTAGCGGGCGTATGTTTACCAGTATCTTTTTATGTATTTCTCAACATAACATCTGTCTCGTAAGTTTGTCGATGGAGTCCAGACACAGTCCTGTATTTCATGGGCATTAATAACGTCCTTCCGATGTTTCTACTGTTTCTACGCGAGTATCACTGCCACGAGTTAGTTTCCGAAATGCCACAACGGAGTGGCGAATATCGCAAATGGGAACCAGGACGGAGGATGCAGGACATCGCGACGCGGGCGACGATGCATCATATATTTCCAAATGTGCGAAATCATTTGTTATACGCGGAACGACAGGTCCTAACGAATGTTTGACAGCCTTGCTAAAAATAAAGGGATATCCAGACCGGTATTTTTTAGCAGTCGTCGCTCGACAAAGAATTACAGCTTCAAAAACCTCTTTAATTATCGTCGACATACGAGATAAGTACGTTTGTGTGTAATAACAATCTGTAATTGGTTATACTCCCAATCAAACATCGTAAATAACTTACGAATACGAGTACCGATATGCAACATCTGAATTCTACATTTAATCCGAATTCAAATTTTTAACGGTATACAGGGTGTCTCGTTTCAATCGCGCACGCCGATTGACATCGCAGAAAGCGGTCGGATGAAGAAATGTTTGCGACAAAAAGATGATAATTTTGAAATTTCCAAAGGCCAAGTTAGGGGCACCGTTTAACACACACATATTCTTGAGACTAAATAGAATAAAAAAACACAGTGCCTCTTTTTCTTCCGACAAATAGTTACCGAGATAAGTTAAATCTCGGAAAAATTACCAAGCTTTTCGTAAATATCTCAAAAAATATCAGACAAATAAAAAAATGTTACAGATAAAAGTCGTCCAAAATAATCGGCGGAAGAAGATGATGTAATAAAAAATTGGGGTTTCCGTCTAAGAAAAATGATGGTCAGTGAGTATCTCGAAAGTGGTGCCATCCGCAAGCGAAATGATATCACTGTCTTATGCTCCCCTCGAACCGAACGATTTTTGTCTAAAACACTTTTCCATCCGACCGCTTTCTGCGATGTTAATCGAGGCGCACAATTAAAACGGGACCAAGTATAATATTATCGAGAATCATTCTCGCTTTTATGGTCGCTACTTTCTCGAGAATAAAAATTAAATGCGGATGGAATATCGAGACGACCGGGAACATTGAATAATTCTCGACTGTTAGTTGCTCCAATATGGGACAAAAGCCCGTATAATGTGTCTCGAGATTCCCCATCGGCCTGTCGAGTTCGACAGAATTCGCGGCTTTAATATGAAAGGAAAATTTCAATTCGGGAACTAACGCGCGAGGACGTCTGTATGAATAAAAAATAAAACCCTACCTACAAACGCGACGATTCGTCTGGAATATCCCGCTAGGAAAAGGGCTGGCGGAGGATTTCTCGTACGATATACAAAACATCCACGAGGTGATTTCGCAGCGTTAAGGGGAGAATTACTTGCGGAGCAGATCGTTTTCAAGGCTATTTTTGCGAACTCTTTTAACAGAAACGGTAGGATCAATGGACTTGAAATTTCCACAGTGTATTCATTAATGTCCAAAATATAAAATAAATTTGTTTTTACTAACTACATGGAAAATAGACATAAAACTTTAAAGGCGTTTATCTAGAAACATCATTTTCTTAAACTGTCGCAACACGATTACGCAAAAACTACTGAACCGTGAATAACTTGACATTTTTTTGCACAATATGCAGTAGACATGTAGTTTTCGCGCCCCTACCTCGAACACAGTTATATTTTATTTCATTAACTTTTTAAAAATATGATTACAAGTTGAAAAAAGTTTCATTTTCAATATCTTTTTGCACAATCATTATTTTTCCAAACTTGGCTTCACCGCCTTCATTTTGGTACGGATTATAATGGCAACCGTATATTTAAAAAATCTTTCTCATTTTTTTATCTCAGAATAGTGAGAGGAATTAGAAGAACTCGCAAACGGATGACTGCATTTTTATCTACAATTACAAATTTTGGGTCGGTTCTTGCGGTACAATAAAATTTATTTTATACTTTGAACATTAATGAGTACACCGTGAAAATTTCAAGTCCATTGATCTTACCTTATGTTTTTGTTAAAAAAATTCGTAAAAACAGCCTCTCGCATATAATTTCCCCCTTGAGCGCATACGGCCGCGGGGATGAAGAATTTGAGGGACCATACTCGCCAAGGATTCGCGACTCTCGTCCTTCGGCCGAGAGTGGTAATTTACATCCGATAATAATTATGTTGATCGCGCGTGCGCGAAGGAATATTGAAATGCGGACAGATGTTTCTCGTTTCTCCTCTCCCGGGACCGCCGAATGTAGAACGCGCGTATAGACGCGCGATTTCGCCACGAGATATCCTTAATAAATAAGCGTCTCTCGAGTAAAAGTGCGAGACGCGGTTGGAGATGACGCGAGAGAGGTGCGCAACGGATAGTCCACGGCAGAAAATTCGAGATGTAGCGCGCGGCTCGGTTGAATAATTTTCCAACTCGCCGGACGAGGTGTACAGAATTAGCATAATCGCGGGGAGGGGGGGGGGAGGGGAGTGGAGTGAAACCGCGCGCAGTTCCGTAAGCTGCATTCTGCCTCCGAATGACATTTAAAAGGACGATTCCGCCGGCGCGAGGGCGCAGCTTTAGTGGCGATCGGTGGCTGTTACGTACGACCTTATCTGCCGTCCGGCCGTAAAAGCGCTTGAGATAAGAGACAGTAATAGGGAGTCGGAGAAGAACTTACCCCATCACGTGTGGCACGTCGATGGAATGGGAGGACGCCCGTTTACGGTCGCCAGCCATATCGGCGAGTCGGGCGAAATCAGTGTCCTGATCGGCCAGCCGGGCGCTCTTGCGCGATTCGAGCAACCTGATCTCCTCTATGCGTTTGGTTAGGCTCATCGTACCCTGCAACAAAAAGCACACCAAGGCCCGACCTTAGAGAGCGAATGGCACTTTCGATTTTTAGCAGCTCTCGAGCACGCCGATCGACCAGATCCCCGCGCGCGAGCATTCGCAGTCCTGACGGCCTGCGACAGCGATGTGAGACAGTAACCTGTGTGTGTGTGTGTGTGTGTGTGTGCACACGCTCCCTCATCAAGTCGCATTAATTTCGCAAGCCACTCGGCGGACAGATCGCGCGGGCCGCGAACGCGGAACAAAACCAGCGGGAAAGGGTCGTAAAACTGCTCTGACCAGGAAGAAGAATACGATCCGGCCGCAACGTCCCGAGTAGAAAAATTAATAGGGCTCTAGTAAGGGCCTGATTATTTTCCTCTAACATTAATCGGGCCCTAGTAGGGACAGAAAGACAAGGGCCCTGCAAGATGTGTAACAAATTTAACGGGTCAACGGTTAACAAATGAATGGGTCTTTATAAGGCAATATCAACAGGATCTTATAAGACAATGTTAATAGGGAGCCTTATAAGGAAAGATTTTTATTATTGTTCGAATAAAAATATTTGTCCTTTTCATACCAAGAAATTTAGATTGTAATTTCTTTGTTTCTTTATAACCTTGTTAGTATACAACAAGAATTTTTTATTTTTGAAATATGGTATAATTTACAATAAAATATAGCATTCTTTATATGTAAGAATTCTGCTTTTATTAAAGTTTACTGCATTTCAAAACGAAGGCAATACTAGAAAAATTCTTGGAAGGGACTAACGAATATGGCAACTAATAAAATTTGTATTTTTAATTGCGGTATAATTAAAAAATCTTTAAGAGAACCAGATAGAGCCTACTTTAGGTACCTACTAAAACCCTACCAAACTATGACAATTTTATTACACGCTTCAGATCTCTTATTAATTTTCTACAACAAAACTTGATTTTCTACATTTAAAGCATCCTTAAAAGATCCCTCTAAGGCCCACATCAGTTTTCCATGTTAAAGCGCCATTTCGCAAAATCCAAGGCATCCCTCAACAAGGCCCTTCTCAGCTTTCCCCATTCAAATTAGATCTAAAACATCTCTAAAAAATCCTTCCAAGGCTCTTCCCAGCTTTTCCCATCAAAACCTTATTTCGCAAAATCTAAAGCATCTCTAAAAGACCCATCTCGCAGCCTGAAGTGGTAATAATGAGGCATCCCTTTTTAGCACATCCTACTTTCAGCCTTATCGGGGCCTTGCGCTTCATGAGGATGGCCCTAACCATTTTTTGCTCGGTCGGAAGCAAAGGTCGGAAAGCTCACACGCGGCAACGCCCGCGCGGAATGTTTCATCCAGCGGCATCCGATGGCTCGCAATCGCGGCCCGGCCGCGCAACGGCCGCGGCGGTTTCATCGGCGCGTCGAGAGCTCGGGATTGAATATTCCGCGGGGCATTCCGCGGCGTTCTCGCGGCGGTCGAAGGCCTAACCGAGCGCGCACGTGCGAGCGACCGTCTTGGAGAAAGTGCAAAATTTGGACTTTCTCCCGCGACCGGCCGGTTTAATTGTTAATCGCGGTCGATTACTTCCTCATGGCTGCTCGCGATCGACGCGGCGAGCGAGCGCGCCGCAATTATCCCGATTCATGGTTACGTATTCGGCCGCGCCGCGCCGTAGTCCTTTGGCTCGTCGCCGACGTGTAACCTCTTTGCGAAATGCGCTCCGAGATTGTTTGTTATTCCGGCCCGAGAGATGCGAGCGGCAATCGAGCTACCCCGCGTGGCGATACGGCGGAGGCCGACGTGCACGGTCACGCACGAATGTTTATACATTCGCGAATCTCGCAATCGAGCGAGAAAGACGGGCCTCGGCCCGTCGAACGTGTCGCTCCGAACGCGGTGACATCGCGGCGTCGCCGCGAGCGGCCGCGAGGAGACGGAGCCAAACTTCGATCGCGGCGCGTCTTGATGTGTAACACGCGTCGGTCAACGTCCGACGACAATACGTCGCGAGATCACATTAAACACGGCAAACGAGATTAGGCGGCAATCAAGTGAGTTCATAAATCGTGAGGCTCATTTTAAGTGCCGTTGGTCGCGCGACCAACAGCACGCCTGGATACTATCGGTACAAATATTTTTCATTACCGGATATATATATATATATATATATATATATCTCGGCCATATTTTCTACCGGTAGCATCCTTGCCCCCGGCCCCCGACCCCCCTTCCCCCCGACAAGTAACTTTATTCGTTTCACTGGAAACGTTCGGTTTCACTTCGAAGCGGCTGACCTCTGTCTTATCTCCGCGATTAGGGCAGAGAATTTATATTCAGGGACGAAAAAGAGTTAAATACAGCAGGTCGTGCCCGAAGGCGAAGCGCGGCGTATCGCCGGCGCTGCGTCGCCGTCGCGGATCGCTCGATCGTGTCGCGGCGCGATGAGTCGTATCTACGAGCGCGATCTCGCGCGAGTCGCAAAATCCGTCAAGAAATCGCGCGCGTGTCACGCGGCCGAAGGCGCGAAAGTCACGTCCTCAGCCGCATCTCCGCCCCCCCCTCTCTCTCTCTCTCTCTCTGTCGCTCGCGACGGTTCCGTGTGTGCCGCGATATTGAATTTCGACACACCGCGTATGCGTGTCGCGCGCGCGAAACGAAAGCACGGGCAGGCTGTTAACCCGCGACTACGTCGTCATTATACTCGCATTATCGTGCCTCCGGGGCTGTGAGTGCGTAGTGGACACGGCCGATACAGACGCGTGCACGTACGATCCGCGCGCTTTTATCGCGGCCACTCGCGGCCCCGATAGCCGTCGCCGTGGCGATTTTTCCAGTGCCCCGCGAGCCAAAAATATTGTTAAGGCCATCCTCATGAAGCACAAGGCCCCGATAGAGGGCTGAAAGTAGGATGCCCTCTAGAAAGAGATGCTTCGCGTTATTATATCACATCAGGCCTCGAGATGAATATTTTAAGAATGCCTTGGATTTAATTAATAAGGCTTTGATAGGAAAAGCTGAAAAGGGCCTTAGGAGGATTTTTTAGCGGTGTCTTAGATCTGATTAATAAGGCTTTGATAGAGAAAGCTGAGAGACGCCTCCGAAGGGGTTCTTAGGGATGTCTTAGATCTAATAAATAAACTTTTGATAGGGAAAGTTGAGAAGGACCTTGGAAGAATTTCTTAGGGATCCTTCAAATTTTACAAAACAACGCTTTAACATGGAAAACTTAGAAGCAGGAACCTTAGAAGGATCTTTTAAGGATGCTTTAGATATATAAAAGTGTTTTTATAGAAAATTAATAAGTTCTGAAGCATGTAATAAAATTTTCATGGTCTAGTGTTGTCTTAGCAAGTACGTTCTGATTCTTTTAAAGATTTTTTTAATTATACCGCAATTAAAGACAAATTTTATTAGTTTTATTAATTGCTACATTCATTAGCCTCTTCCAAGGATTTCTCTAGTATTGCCTTCGTTTTGAAATGCAGCAAACTTTAATAAAAACAGTAGCAGGGATTTTATGTGTAAAGAATGCTATATTTTATCGTAAAGTATTGTAAAGTATGCTATATTTTTAAAATAAAAAATTCTTCTTGCATACTAACAAGGTTCCAAAGAAATAAAGAAATTCCAGTCTAAATTTCTTGGAACGAAAAGAACGAATATTTTTGCTCAAGCAATAACAAAAATATTTCCTTAAGGCCCTATTAATATCGCCTTATAAGGACCCGTTAAACCATTTGTTACATATCTTGTAGGATCCTCGTCTTTCTATCCCTACTAGAGCCCGATTAATGTAATAGGGAAAAATAATCAGATCCTTAGGCCAGAGTCCTCATCAATTTGTCTACTCAAGGCGAGCCGACCGTGTTTATTCCGAGCGGCCTTTTCGCCAACACGTGCGACACACGATAACGTGTTTCAATAACATGCGTGTCTCGATAATGCCGCAGCCCGGTCTCGGCTCTCGGCTATGAGGCGTTGCCGTATTCCGACGATTGATTTCGTGATGAAGACGTCAGGAGACGCGAAGGTCATCGCGCTACTTCGCGCACCGCCGAGGAACCGTCGTCCACGAGTGACGAGGGACGCAGGATCACCGCGTGGGCGTCTGATATCCCGCGCGATCGGCGCTTCCTCGGGGACTCCCACGCCGCGGTTCCGGGGAAAACGGGCGGCGATTACCTCGGCGTCGCGGCGGGACTCTCCGCGGACGCCGCAGGAATCCGCCTGGCCGCGCGCGCACGCACGTACGCCGATTTGCCCGGCGACGCGTTTCTTCCCCGGTTTCGCCGATAATCGAGCGTGGCCGAGCGTGACGCTCTATTATTCGACGGCGACACCGCGATCGGGAAGAAAGTCGAGAGCGCGGCGCGGCGCGACGTCGGGACGGACGAAGTCGCGCGCGAAAAGAACACGACGCCGTCCAACTGTTACGTGCGCGTCCTCTCCTCTCCCCTTCTCTCCTCCCGCCGCTCTCTTCGATTTATCTCGTTTCGGCTGGTCGATTTCTCACGCGCTCCGCAATCCCGAGGGGGATATTCTCCCGGCAGATATCCGACGTTGTTTTCGGAGCGAGATATCGCGACTCCACAAGCCTAACCACAAGCACGCGAATCTCGAGATTCGCTCTGATACGGAGGGGGGAGAGGAGGGCATCTTGCCTCTCTTGCCGACTTTGTACCGACACGTACCGGTCGCGCTCTCGCGGCCTCGCGCGATCCTCCTCGTGCTCGTATGAGCGTCATCGTCGGGGAGCCATTCCTCTCTCACCGTCGCCACGCGCGAGAAGCGTATAAATTTCCGCGGGTGAAATATGCGCGCGCGACTCGCACGTGCGTGCGCCGCAATCGCGAATTCGCAAACATGCGATCTGCGCGGCGAGAGCGTAATGATACGTTCGTCGCGCGGCAACTTCATTACTTAATCGCTCCTCCGCAGCGGCGTCTTATCCTCCGCGGCTTTAATTCCTACGTCGAAATGCCCATCACGCTCGTCCTGTGACACATACTAATTTCGCGCGATCAAGA